CGCTGCAGGTGAAGCTGCCCAGAGTGGAGCTGTTTCACAAAGAAAGGTGCCTTGTTGACCCTGAGGTTACATACTCTGTCTCATCCCCTAGGCCAGCTAAGACAAACAGACTCGGCAACTCCTGTCTGCTGTTAACAACCATCTGCCCATCCACCCGGTGCCAGGATTTTGTTTTGTGTTAACCCAAACCCCTAACCCCAAATATCTTCAAGACCCCCTTTCCCTCACGTCCATGAGTTAATGTTCACAGATTTATTGTCTCTTTGTGCACGTCCATCACCATATCTGTAAGCCTTCTGATCCTAATAAAAAAGGAGCAAGGACCCTTATTTGGGGCTCTTGTCTTCTCCCAGACATTAGCCATCTCTCACTTTTAATCCTGTGTCCGCTCTCTTGCTGGGCAAGAAAGAACTTTAGACCTAGAGTCTCTGTCAGGCAGAGAGAGAGGGAGACCCAGAACCCGAAGCAGGCTCCAGGCTCTGAGCTGTCAGCACAGAGTCAACATGGCACTCGAGCTCATGCACTGTGAGGTCATGACCTGAGCCAAAGTCAGACTCTTAACCGACTGAGCCATGCAGGCACCCCTTGAAACAATATTTATAATAGCCAAGATACTTAGACAAAACCTAAGAGTCCATCAGTGGATGAATGGATATAGAAAATATGGGATGTATGCGAGTTGTATATAATGGAATATCACTCAGCCATCAGAAAGAATGAAATCTTGGGGCACCTCGTGGCACAGTCAATTAAGCGTCGACTCTTGGTCTTAGGTCATGATCTTGTAGTTTGTGAGTTCGAGCCCTGCACGGGGCTCTATGCTGACGGGTGAAGCTTGCTTGGGATTCTGTCTCTCCTTCTCTCTCTGCCCCTCCCCCGCTTGTTATCTCTCTCTCTCTCTCTCTCTCTCTCTCTCTCTCTCTCTGTCTCTCTCTGTCAAAATAAATAAATAAACTTTAAAAATTTTTAAAAAGAATGAAATCTTGCATTTGGAACAACATGGATGGATGTCGGGGGGATTCTGCTCAGTGAAACGAGGTAGATGGAGTGTGACAAAGACCATGTGACCTCTTACATATGGGACCCAACCAGCACCACAAAGCCAAACTCATGGATACAGAGAACAGAATAGTGGTTGCAAGAGATGGGGGTAGAGAGCGGGAGACATGGGTAAAGTGTTTGGCTTGGTTTTGTTTAAAGAAGTGGAAGTTAAAAAGCCCACAGATACTGGGGCGCCGGGGTGGCTCAGTTGCTTGAGCGTCCAACTTCAGCTCAGGTCATGATCTCACAGTTCGTGGGTTCGAGCCCCACATCAGGCTCTGTGCTGACGGCTTGGAGCCTGGAACCTGCTTCAGATTCCGTGTCTCCCTCTCTCTCTGCCCCTAACCCACTCGCATTCTGTCTCTGTCTCTCTCAAAAATAAACAAACATTAATAAATAAATAAATAAATAGCCCATAGGTACTAGATCATTGTTCTGAAAACTGGAAAATTCAGACAAAAGAAAAATTTTAAAAGATGTAAATTCTAAATAAATAGAAGAGAAATTGTGCTCGTGGATTGAAAGACTCAAACTTGGGGCGCCTGGGTGGCTCAGTCGGTTAAGCGGCCGACATCAGCTCAGGTCATGATCTCACGGTCGGTGAGTTCGAGCCCCGCGTCGGGCTCTGTGCTGACAGCTCAGAGCCTGAAGCCTGCTTCAGATTCTGTGTCTCCCTCTCTCTGACCCTCCCCTGTTCATGCTCTGTCTCTCGCTGTCTCAAAAATTTAAAAAAGTTAAAAAAAAAAGTTAAAAAAAAAAAAAAAGAAAGACTCAAACTTGTAAAGATGTCAGAAACACAGAGGAGCTACAGCGGTAGTTAAAAGGAAGAAGAACATGGGAGGGGGGGGGCTCCTCACACATGGCACTGAGACCCCCTGCAGACTGTAGCGGCCAGCACAGAAGTGGGGGCATGGGGACACAGGACAGCCCCAGAAACAGGCATAGCTGTTCGTACAAAGGTGAACAAGGGTTCATACAGAAAGATGGTCCTTTCCCCAGATGTGTCTGGAGTGATCAGTTGTCCACAGGAAGGCCGTGGTCCTCAGCCTAAGCGGCACATCTTACACAAAGTTTAACTGGACCAGGGCTCTAAACACCCATCATGAAACTATAAGGCCTTTAGGAAAAAGAAATCTTGAAGATCTGGTAGATGAGAAGTCCCCAGTAATGACGTGCAAGGTGCCACCCCCGGAGAACACACTGATAAACTGGATTGCATCAGGAATTCAAAATGTTGCTCTGTGAAATACACTATTAAGAAAACGAAAAGACGACCCACCCACAGACGGGGAGAAAAGACTTGCAAACCATATCCGTGACAAAGACAAAGGGGTAGACGGAGAATATATAAAGAACTCTTTAAACTTAACAGGAAGAGATCAAACAATTCAGTTTCAAAATGGGCAACAGACATGACACCATCAGAGAGGATATATGTGTGCAAATCCGTGCGTGGAAAGGTGTTCAGCATCACAGCCAGGGTGCATGCATCAGATTGGCTGCAATAAAACGTTGGCTCCAAATGCTGGCGGGAAGGCGGGGTGCAAAGAACCTGGACCTGGCTCTGGAAACAGGCGATTTGGAACTAAGTGAGGCGTGACTCAGCCACAGGCTCAGCAGCGGTCTCCTGGGTGAGACTCAGGCACCAGGATCCGTGGCAGCTCTTCACCAGAGTGGAAACTCCCCGGATGCCTCACGCCTTCCACGGGGGCAGGCCATGCAAACTGCAGCCTGTCTCTGCAGACTGACTCAGGCACAGAGCAGGGACCTCAGAGCCCATGGTGGCTGCGGGGCCTCAGGCCTCACACCTATCCCTGTGGCCAGGAGACAGAACTGTGACAGGAGCCAGTTGGTGGGGCTGGGCTGGGCTGGGGCCAGGGCGTGACCCTGGAGGGGCAGAGGAGGGGTGCCTGGTGAGTCCGACTGTGGCAGTGCTCCCGTGAGCCCACACGTGTGCACAGAAGTGGGGTAATGTTATTGTATGCTTGAAATCACCAAACGAAAACATTGCTGAGAAGCTGAATCTCCCTCCTTCCTGGACCACAAGCTAGCCGGGCCTCTGGCCTTTGCTCTGGTCAAGCCCTGGGTCACCTGACTGACCTGCCCTTAGCCTGAGCGGAGGCCCCGGGCCTCCCACTGGGGGAGGGTGAGGTTAGAGGGCAAAGTCTGAGCACCTCCAGGGAGGGGTGGGGGCCCACGTGGGTGGTCACCAAATGCGGCAGGTGGGGCAGGAGAACTCTAGGCAGCAGGTGAGGGTATAACCCTGGGTGATGGGGTGGGGGATTGGTGTGTGGAGTGTGACCCTAAGTAGTGGGGGATTAACCCCCAGCAGGGGCTGAGTTCAACCCCACGGAGCCTCTGTTGGCCAGTCTGTGATCTGGGGGTGGGTGGCACCAGCCCCCAGTGGACAGAGTTCGCAGCTCTGTCACCTGCCTGGTGAGGTCCAAGCAGAGGTGGGCGGTGACTAGCTGAGGGAAAGAGAGAGGCGGGACCACACCCAGCAGGTGCCTGAGAGACAGCAGCCTGCTTCCTCCTTGCGGCAGCCAGCTCTCCAGCAGCCCAGGTGAGGGGGCTGTACTGGGCTGGGGGTGCTGTCTGGGTCTGGGGGGCTATCCTAGTCTAGGGGGTGCTGTTCTGTCTGGGTCTGGGGGGCTATCCTAGTGTAGGGGGTGCTGTTCTGGTCTGGGGAGAACTGTCCCGGTCTGAGGAGGGCTGTTCCGGTCGGTGGGGGGGGGGCAACCAGTCCTGAGGGAGGGTGTTCTGACTGTGGGGGAGTCTGCCCATCCTCTTTGCCCACTCATTGGGGACTCAAGCTGAGGAGTCTCAGATTGCTGTATCCCTTGGAGGTGAGATATGAGGTGGGGTCCCAGTGTCCCTGGGGCCTACCTGTCACCTGTTTGTGTGATGTGGCCTGTGACCCAGGTTCTGGTTTGGGGACACAGGCTGGGTCCCCTCTGGGCCTCACCAACCCCGAACCCCCATCTTCCCACCTTCAAATGGGTGTCCCACGCAGCGGGGGGGGGGGCCGGAGCCCCAAGACAATGGCATCATCACCCCTGCCTGTCACTCCATTTGAAATAAGCACATGAGGGATGTTTACGCTTTTGTGAGACACAGTGTGATACAAAATCACAGGAATCTCTGGGCCTGGGAGACCCCAGACAGCTGTCTCCTTTGGACGGAGGCACCAGCGGGGCCGAGGCTCCCGGCAGTCCTGTGTGTATGGCCCGGCTTGGGGACGCTTGGGGCCCGGGGAGGGTCCTGCAGGGGCCAAGGCCACTGAGCTGGGCACCTCGGCCCTGTGCAAACTGCACTCCTGGCTCAGCCTCGGCCAGCTGCCCGGGGCGGGGTGTGGAGCCAACTGCAGAGCTTCCAAATCAGATGAGAGAAGGCAACGGTTGGTTTTCGAATAGAAACCAACGTCTTTGTTCGGAACTCCCTGATCTCAAGTTCCTTTCAAGAAAATGTGCTCCTTGGGGCCCTGCCGACCTCACTCATTAGGGCACAAGGGAGGCTGCTTGGGAGCAGTTATATGTCTAGCTGGTCCCCTGTCCTCACCTGGTTCAGGGCCGACCTCAGGGCTCCCAGAGTGAAGATCCTACCCTGGGGGAGGGGAGAGGGCTGCAGAGAGGAGGCGGGGGGAGGGGGGGTAGGGTCCTGGGTCCCCCAAGGTCAGTCTGGAGCTGACCTTCAGAACTGGGGCTCCTCCCGGGAGGGTGGGGAGAGTGAGGGCGCCTGGGGGGCTCAGTTGATCAAGCGTCTGACTCTTGATTTTAGCTCAGGTCATGATCCCAGGGCCGTAGGATCTCGAGCCCCAAGTTGGGCTCCACACTGAGCATGGAGCCTGCTTGGGATTCCCTCTCTCTCTCTCTCTCTCTCTCTCTCTCTCTCTGTCCCCCTCGCTCTCTCTCTGCCCCCCTCGCTCTCTGCCCCCCCCCGCCCCCCTCCCTCGCTCTCTCTGAAAAGAAGAAGAAAGAAAGGGGCTCTTCTGGACCCCATCAGCACTGTATGTCCCAGGCTGGACCCTGGCTCCACAGCACTCCTGGGCAGGCCCGGCTCCTGTGGTGTGGTCTTCAGCTCTGCCCACTGACTGAGCTCAGACGTGCTGAGCCCCAGGGAGGACGGGGTGGCTCTCCAGGGCGGCAGTGTCTGCGGCAAGGGGCGTCCGGTGCCCACTGCTGCCCACACCCGCAGGTGCCAGCCCAGCCCTGCCCTGCCCTGCCCTGATGGGGCTGACCTGGAAGCCGCGGGTTCTCACAGCACTGCTCGGGGCGGCAGTGGCCTCAGGCCTCACCACGCTCATTCTCATCCTGGTGGAGGCCACTGATGTCCTCCTGCCCACAGACACCAAGGTAGGCCCCCAGACCCCGAGCAGCGGGGAGGTTGGGCTGGGCTGGGCTGGGCGCTGGCCCCATGCCCTCCTGACCTTGTTGTCACTCTCAGTTTGGGATTGTGTTTGACGCGGGGTCCTCCCACACGTCCCTCTTTGTGTACCGGTGGCCAGCAGACAAGGAGAACGACACGGGTGTGGTCAGCCAGGCCCTGGTCTGCCAGGCGAAAGGTCAGTAGGCAGCTCTGGGGACAGCGGGCGGGTGTGCACGGCTGTCGGCTGCTGTCTGGGAGGGATTCCCGGCGAGGCGGAGGGTTGGGAGGTGGTACAGGCCGGAGCCAGCTGAGCCACATTTAGCAAATCAGCAGATCGACCTACAGGAAAAGTGGCTCAGAGAGGTTGAGTGAATTACCCAAGTGGCACAGATGGTCAGTGCAGAACTGGACCAGAACCTACATGTGCCTGCACAGAAGTGGTACAGTGCCTGCCCGGTCCTTCCTGCCTCTTCCAGCTTCTGGAGGCTCCTGGGCTGTGGCCACATCATTCCAACCTCTCCCCCCCCAACCTCACGTGGCCTTCCTCCTCATGTGCCTTGACCTTCCCTCTCCTCTGTCTTAGAAGGAAATGGGTCATCAGGGGTCGCCTGGGTGGCTCAGTCGGGTAAGCGTCCGACTTCAGCTCAGGCCATGATCTCCCGGTTCGTGAGTTCAAGCCCTGCGTCGGGCTCTGTGCTGACAGCTCAGAGCCTGGAGCCTGATTCTGTGTCTCCCTCTCTCTGTCCCTCCCCTGCCTGTGCTCTGTCTCTCTCTCCTCTCTCTCTCTCTCTCAAAAAATAAAACGTTAAAATTTTTTTTTAATTAGAGGATATGGGTCATCGGATTTAGGGCCCACCCAGGGAATCCAGAATGATCCCATCTTAAAACCCTTAACTTAATTACATCTGCGAAGATCCCTTTTCCAAATAAAATCCCACTCAAAGATCTCAGTGGTTAGGACATGGGCATGCCTTTTGGGGGCGGTGGGGGGCGGAGACACTGTTCAACTCCCCACAGGCCCTTCCGGCCCGGCCCAGCCTTCAGGCCTGGAGCCTCGTCCTGGGGTGCTGTGTTTCAGGGCCTGGAATCTCCTCCTATGCCTCCAATCCTGCACAAGCCGGTGAGAGCCTGCAGGGCTGCCTGGAGGAAGCGCTGGCGCTGATCCCAGAGGCACAGCAGCGGAAGACGCCCCTGTTCCTGGGGGCCACGGCTGGCATGAGGCTACTCAGGTGAGCTGGGCTGACCTGGGGCCTGTGGCGCATCCGTGAGGAACAGCTCCGAGAGCCGTGGTGGTGTCCATGCCCTGGGCAAGCGGGCGGAGTGGTGTGGGTGTGGGTCTCCTGCCAGCTCGGGCTGCTGGTCTTTTCTGTCCAGCCAGAAGAATAGGTCTCGGGCAAGAGACGTCTTCGCGGCGGTCACCCAGGTCCTGGGCAAGTCCCCCCTGGACTTCTGGGGTGCTGAGCTTCTGGCCGGGCAGGACGAGGGTGCTTTGGGTTGGATCACCATTAACTACGTCCTGGGCATGCTGGTCAAGGTGCTGTGTGCAGCCCGAGGGTGGGGGTTGGGTGACCAGGGGCGGTGGGTCAATGCGGCTGGTCCCAGGACTCAGTGCCCCCTGTCTGTGCTCAGTACTCCTTCTCTGGAGAATGGATCCAGCCTCTGGAGGGGACACTGGTGGGCGCCCTGGACATGGGTGGAGCCTCCACCCAGATCACCTTTGTGCCTGGAGGCCCCATACTGGACAAGAGCACCCAGACCACCTTCCGCCTCTACGGATCTGAGCACAGTGTCTACACGCACAGCTACCTCTGTTTCGGGCGGGACCAGATGCTGAGCAGGCTTCTGGCACAGCTGGTTCAGGTCGGCTGGGCCACAGAGGAGGGGGAGGCGAGCTGGGGCGGCCTGTGGCCCTGGGCTGGGCTCAAGGCCACCTCCCTGCCCTCCCGCAGAGCAGCTCCGGCCCCCTGGTCCGCCACCCATGCTACCACAGCGGCTACTGGGCCACGCTGTCCCCGGCCGCCCTCTACGAGTCCCCCTGTGTGCACACAGCAGCCCCTCCAGAGCTGGCCAGGAACCTCACTGTGGAAGGGACAGGGAACCCCGGGGCTTGTATCTCAGCCATCCGGGGCCTCTTCAACTTCTCCAGCTGCCAGGGCCGAGGACACTGTGCCTTCAATGGGGTCTACCAGCCCCCTGTGCGGGGCCCGTTCTATGTGAGCTCCCTTCCCTGTCCTCCCCAGGGTCTCAGCCTCCTTCCACGGCCCCGGGCCCCAGGGGTCTGACCCCAGGTGGGCCCAGGATGAGCCCTGCACAGGCAGGCTCTTGGGAACTCTGGGGCCCCGCATGGGGGCAGGTGGGGACTCTGCCTGGTTTGTCCAGGGCTCCTCTGACCCGGGCCCACCGGGCATCACCCCAGTGCCCAGGGAAGACACACAGCTCATCACCCCCCTCTGCCCCCAGGCCTTCTCGAACTTCTACTACACCTTCCACTTCCTGAATCTCACCTCCAAGCAGCCACTGGCCACTGTCAACGCCACCATCTGGGAGTTCTGCCAGAGGCCCTGGAAGCAGGTGGGTGGATCCCAGGGCCGCCCTGGGTCTCCGAGCTGCGGCTGTCACAGGCACAGACCTCAGCAGCAGGCAGGGACTTGGTGGGACCCTGTGCCTGGGAGGCTGGGAGCGGGGACACCAACGGGCTCCTCACCTCCCGGGCCCCCAGGTGGAGGCCAGCTCGCCCGGGCAGGACCCCTGGCTTCGTGACTACTGTACCTCGGGGCTGTATATTCTCACGCTGCTGCTTGAGGGCTACGGGTTCAGTGAGGAGACTTGGCCTGGCATCGAGTTCCGCAAGCAGGTGACCACCTGGCCCAGGGCGAGGGTGGGTCAGGGGCTCCAGGGCAGCCGCCCACGGCACTGAGCAGCCCGTGTGTCCCACAGGCTGGTGGCACGGAGATGGGCTGGACGCTGGGCTACATGCTGAACCTGACCAGCATGATCCCGGCCGAGGTGCCTGCCCGGTGGCGGGCACAGAGCTATGGCATCTGGGCGGCCGGGGTCGTCTTTGCCGTGCTGACTCTCGTGGTTACTCTGGGGGCTGTGGCAGGCCAGCTCCTCTGGCCCCAGGGCTAAGCTGGGCCGCCGCCTGATGGCGGAAGGCACGGGCTCAGCTCCCCCGGTCTGAGCTGGTCAGAGCCTCCCTGATCTCCTGACCCCTGCCGGGTCCCCTTGTCCCGTGGGCTCTGGCCCCGCTGTCAGATGGCCCCCGTGGATGCAGGAGGTATTGTGGCCTCCCCAGGGCGACAGGTGATAAGTGCCAGGCCACAGGGGCCCCTGCAACATTCCAAGGCTCTGTGACCTTCAGTGTTAGCGGGACATGGGGCCCAGTCAAGCCCGGACGTGGGAGTGACTGCTGAAGAAGGGGTTGGCTCCCTGGGAGAGGCTGGCAGGGCTTCAGGAGGTTGGCGGAGGGGCCCGGCCCGAACGGGGGTATCACTCAGCCTGAGGGGAGGTATCCAGGCTCCTAGGCTTCTCTGGGAGCAGCCCCATCCCCCATCCTCAAAGCCTCCATCAGGCCCTCACAGTGGACAAGTCAAGAACACAGACCACACCTTAGTGGGGGGAAGACTGCTTTATTAAAACCGTTCTTGCCACGGGACTTCCTAGGGCTGATTTCCTCACTGGGCTTGGGGTATGTGGGGCTCCAGGTGGGGGTGTTGGGCTTCTCACATGTACTGTCCAGCTGGGACCACGAAGCACTTGGGGAAAATGCCGATGCGGCCATCACAGTGGCCCTCCAACCAGGCCGGGTCCACTGCACGCGAGGGGATGTCAGTGTTCCTTAGGGCACATCAGATAGTATCTGCTCACAGAAACCCCTTTGGCCCCAGCGCCCCACTGACCTTCACACAGGACGTCCACGATGTCCCCCGGCTGTAAGTCCAGGTCCTCAGGCCCCTGGGCAGAGTAGCTGTGCCGGGCCACCACCTGGTAGAGGACAGGCCGGCCGCCCGCTCCCTGTGGCAGGGGAGGGCTCCAGGGTGGGCCGGCTGCGGAAGGGCCCCAGGGCCTCCCCCGCCCCGCACGCACCGGGACCCACACCGGGCTCTCCTGGGGCTCACCCGGCACTGGAGCCGCAGGACCCCAGGGCTGGCCGCCTTGTCCCGCCAGGCCCTCTGTAGCACCTCCTCCCTAGCAAGGGGGACCCAGCGCCCCTTGTTGCTGGGGTCTTGGTAACTGCAGAGAAACTCCTCCAAGTGAGCGGGGGGCGGGGGGGGGGGCGGGGGGTGGTTTCTGCCAGGGCACAGATGTACCAGCCCCTCGTCCATCCCCTGCCCTGGGGCTTCTGCCCTGGGCCAGGCTCAGAGACCTCAGGTCCCACCTCTGACTGGCTCACCTGAGCTGCCCGTGCTGGGCCTGGTCGGGGAGGGCCTGGCTCAGCAGGGTCCGCAGGCTGGACAGGTCAGCTCCTCTTGGGACCTTCAGGGCCAGTGTGAAGGCACACTGCACTATGAGGGTCACCAAGGACTCAGGGTCCCCCACGGCCACTCCCTGGGACAAGGCAGAAAGGCAGTGGTCAGCTTGTAAAGCCCCAAATCTCCATGCACAAGGCCCAACTGGGGTGGCCTTCGAGCTGGGGCTGAGGGTGGGGACAAAGACGGTGGCAGGGGGCCGGGGCTATAGGCCTGTAAGTTGCTCATCAGCTGGGGTCCCCAGGGCCATTTGAAGGGATGGGGCCTAGCCTCAGGGCCCCAAATACCAGAAGAGTGGGGGTGACACCAAGGCTCTTACCCCAGCATGAGAGGGGTCTTCAGAAGGGCCGGGGTCTGGCTCCCCTGCCACCCGCAGCCCTGTGGAGGTTGACAGAGCAGGTTCTCAGGTGGAATATTTTGGAGCAGAGGACCTGCCTGGACCACACGCCCACTGGGAAGCACAGGTAGCCAATCTCCTCCTTAGGGGACAAAGAGGCTGCTCCCCGCACCCCCAGATGCCTGCCCCCTTCCCCCAGTGTCCCTGCCCACCGCCTGCAGCTCAGGAGCCCTTACCTGGAGGAACCTGTTTGCCAACTTGCTCCACACTGGGCCTCTGCAGGGAAAGCCACAGGCTTGGAGCAGGGGCCAGGGATGGGGGCCCTGGGGGGTGGGGCAGTGTCCCTGGCTTGTGGAAGCAGGCCCAGTGGTGAGGCGTACGGCCTGTGAACCAGCTGACCACCAGCAAGCCAGAAATGCAACCCGTGTTGGGGTGTGTTCAGGGCAGGCACCGGGTCCCCACAGTCCTAGCGACCACAGACAGGCTGCCTTACATCAGTGCGGATGAAGCTGTCATCCCGGGTGGTCCCAGGTGGAGCCTGAGGACCCAGGCCAGGGACCAGCTGGACCTCACCCTGTGCTGGATGTGCTGCAGGGGCAGCAGGGCACCCCAGAGAGGCCCGGGGTCCAGGCCATCCTGACTCCGTTCTGACTTCAGGTGAGGGTCTGGAAGTTCATTGGTAAAGGAAGCATTTGGACTTCAGTGTATTTACCAGCTGGTTAACGCACTTGAGAAGCTATTCGCTATTGTGCCAGGAGGGTCGAGGGCCTAAAACCCCGAAGTACCATGAACTTAGTAAATGCAGCTTTAACCGCATGCAGGAAGTTAATAAAGCACAGCTGTGACTGAGAATAACCGCTAAGGGCACAGGTCCGTTCAACTTGAGTTAGCTGAGCACCAGGGCAGAGAAAGGGAAGTGACCGCATATTCCCTCATGAAGTCCTTTGATAAAATGTCTGTTCAGTTCAACCGCCTGCTCTGTGCGTGGAGGCCCCTCTCCTGGTGCTGGTGCGGGAGGGGGTCAGCCACGCCCCTCCTGGCTGCACCTGCCTGGGAGAAGCCGGTGTCCAGGAAGGAGGGCTGGGGTGGCAAGGGCCACGGCTGGATGGCGCAAGACCCGAGACCCAGATGCACAGGCTGCAGGCCAGGCCCCCCAAGGCCTAGGGCCGGGTGAGGGCGGCCATCAGCAGGCCCCCCCCCGACCCCGGTGTCTGGCTCCGGCCCGGTCTCTGACCCGACAGAGAAAGCCAAGGCTCTGTCCCCCAGCAGGGCACGAGGTCGCCCGCCCGAGACCCGCAGAGCGCCTGGCTGTGGCTGCTGTTCCCCATCTTGGGGTCACCCACCTGTTCATCGTAGAGGACGGGCGCATGGTGGTCAGCCTGCCCCGCCTGCCCGGGGCCGACCTGTGTCTCTGTCTCGGGGGGCCTCCTGGGACCACAGGCGGTGCGGGTTTTCCAGGCCCCGGTGACTGCAGCCCTAGGGGAAGGGGGGGTGCCCTGACCTCAGGACTGCCTCCCGGACAGCCTGAGGAGGGCCTGGAGTGTGGACACGAGGGCTAGGTCCGAGCAGGGCCCCAGGGCGTGGGGCTGGCTCTACGTCGCGCAACCTTGAGCACCAGCCCCTCTCCCGAGTGGGGACAGCCCCATCCGTGAGGCTCCAGTCTGGCGATGCCGGAAGTGTAATCACGCCAGCCTGCAGTCCCGCCAGCACCCTCCCTGGGCACCTTGGCTCTGAGCTTTTGCGCTGCTTGGAGTCATCATGACCGCAGTCTCAACTCCCCTCTGGTGCCCGCCAGGGCCAGAGTGACGGCTCTATGAGAGGGGGGCACCCCTCCCCTGGCATCAGGGGCTCCAGCCACATCCACTCTGGAAAGGGGGTGTGACAGTCCTGGCCCCTGGCCAGGTCTGCACGGGGAGGGGGGGGGCTCCGGCCTCAGGCCTCACACCAGGGCCTCTGCCCCAACAGGAGGGACGCTCCTTCCTACCGTGGGGCGGCTCCAGGCCTGGCTCTGCCATCTGCACCCTGAACCTGTGGGCACAGAATGCCATCCTCTCTCAGGATGCAGACCCCGGTGGGTGAGTTCGGGGTGGGGAGGCCGAGCAATGCTCTTCCCCACCCCCCCGAGCAAGACTGCGTGATTTTTATAGACTCTCGCACAGAACAGGCCTGCTACTCCCGATTCCAGATCAGAGGAACACGGGACGGTCCAGAGCATTTTCCTCCCGTTACAGTAAAAAGGCGCGAAGGGCTCAGGCCTGCAAACTGACAGAGAAAGCCGGGCTGGCTGGCAGGCCACCACCCACCTGGGGCTGCTGAGGCTGGATGTCCTCCTGCCGGTCGGCAGGGAAGGCAGAGGATACCACCTGGTAAGGGACAGCAGGGGGACAGCCGGGTCGGCAGGCACCAGCCCCAACCCCCAGGGGGCTCTGTGACGTTGGCTCCCAGCCCTCGCCACCCACCGCACCCCCCTGAGTCTCCCATCTGCTGGGCAGGGGCCTGACCCAAGCTGCCAGACTGCCACCATGGGGGCTGGGAAGGTAGGAAGAATACGTCTGATAAAGGAAGACATCTGTGCTGAGAGTTTCAACTTATTTTTAGTACAATTTTTGAAATATTTTTGTTTCTTAGAGGCCTTATACTGTGATAAGTGGACTCTAAACTGATCAACGCAGCTCAGAACCGCCTGGCCCCCACCAGCAGATGTTTGCGAACATGAGGTGTCTGTGGCAGGTGGCTTTGCCAGCACTTTTAACATGGTCACGTGCAGCATGCTGGCCCTTGGTGACCTCGGCCCTTGGGGCGCCGGGGCTAACCCAAGGGCCACCAGCTTGAAGTCAATGTGAATTTTCCTTGTGCGCACAGGAGTTATTTCCCTGTGTTCCCCAGTGTTCTGTGATTCTGGTGGTGCTGCCCGGCCCTGACCAAGGGGTAGGCATGACGTGGCCCGGGCCAGCCTACCTCGGGGCTCCCTGAGATCTCACTGTCCGGGGCAGAGATGCAGGCAGACAGAGCCAAGGAGATTCTGAGGCCAGAAAAGCATGGCTGAAGTGGAGGCAGGCGGGGGAGCCTCGAGGGTCCCCGTCAAAAAGGCATGAGCTCCCTCCTCTGCAGCCAACTTCTGGTGGCCTCTGTGTCCTGGTTCCAAGAGCCTGGGATCTGTAAACTCCACCTGGAGACACTGCTTCTGACCTAGGAAGCTCCCGTATGTCTGCAGCTTGGGGGCGGCCGGTCCCTCCCCAGCTTGCTGGCTGCTGCTGGCCCCTGAGCACCTGGGCTGGGAACGGAGACACTACCCCCTTACCTTGGCCTTGCCCAGGAAATCCACTGGTTCCAGGAGCTCCAGGTGCCACCTGTGGGGCCGGAAGACCTCACCCCTGGGGCCCTGCCGAGGCTGCAGGTGCACCTGTTTCTGGAGGGGGCCCGGCCAACGCAGACCTGAGCATCTGACCAGGGCGGTGGTCTCAGGGGGCCCCTCCACCCACTTGTCACAGACTAGGGGAAGTCCTTCCCCAGCCCCCACACCTGGGCACATGGGCCACCTCCCTCTAGAAAGTCTTGGGGGGCCTGTATAGATATGAGCCCTGCACGGTGGGCTATGGGACCAACAACCCCAAGGGGTGGGGACGACCTGCTTTCCTCCCTGCCCCCCCCTCACCTGCACTTGGTCCAGGGCAGTGCACAGGTGGTCTCGGGCCCCTTCTGACCCCTTGGAGAGGGCTTCCTCTAGGCTGCGGGTGGCTTCAGCCCAGAGACCCAGGCGGCACTGTGCGGCCCCCAAGTTGAAGAGCACCTGGGAGCCACGGGACAGACCACTCCCTCCCTTAGTCCCCTCCGGCCTTTGGGTCTCAACCCCCCCCCCCCCCTCGCCCCGCCTTTGCCCCAGATTCTACCCCGGGGCGTGCCCCCAGTCCCACCCCCGACCTTTCTCCAGGCCTTGCCCTCAGTGCCACTATGTAGCTCCAGCTCCAGTCTCATGGTCCCCTCCCAGGTCTCACTCCTAGATCAGACCTTCTGGCCCGGATTCCGGACCTCCCCGCCCTTCCCCCCACCCCCTCCAGTTCTGGCCTGGGCTCCCAGTCCCACCCCCAGCCCCTCTCCTGGCCTCACCTCCAGTTCCCTTCCGGCGCCTCTCCCGGCCCCACCCCAGCCCCTCCCCTGGCTCCACCCCCGGCCCCCAGCCCGTCCCCCAACCCCTCTCCCGGACCCACTCCCAGCCCCTCCGCTGACCCCGCCCCACCCCAGCCCCTCCCACAACCCCACCCCTGGCCCGTGGCGGCGCCAGTGCGGGGCTCTGCCGGGCAGGCCTCACTCTCCAGACCCCCCCATCCGGAGCGGTTCAGAGCTCTGGCGCTTCTCTGCTCCAAAAATCTGGGGCGGATTTCTGGGCGCGGGAAGCATCCTCTCTGCCTGCCTCACCCCCATTCTGCATCTGGCCAAACCCCTTTTGCGGCCCCTTCGTCTGTGTGCTGCCCTGTCAGTGCATGAGTCTGGGGTGCCGTCCAAGGAACCCATTTCTCTGTCCTGTCCCCGTCCCCACCCCCGTGTCACAAGACGTTTGACAGACAGTTTGGGTTGGGTTAAGGCTGCCGCGGCCGGACATACCGAGGGCAGAAGCAAAGTTGCCTGGTGCTCCTGGGAGCCGACCTCCCCACTGAGCCCCTGCTGCTGCCACCGAGGCAGCAAGTGCCACCCAACTTGGCCCAACGTCAAGAGAAACCAACACACTCCCTCCGCGCGGCCCTCTGTCCCCGGGGCCTGCCAGGTGACACCACACCCCCAGAGCCAGCTGGCCGCCCTCTGGAGACTCCTGTTACGAGGCCAGCTGGGGGTCGCTGCCAGGCCATTCCTCCCCGCGCTCCCCACCGCCCTGCACTGCTCAGTGCCCTGGGCCAGGGGACCCCACCTGGAGGGGCTTTCCCACGACTTGTTTCTTGCAACACCGCTTGTTGGGGGAAGGCTGCAAGACAGCCAGTTTCCGGGAGCACTGCGGTGTCCTCTCCACCCCCCTTCCTTGGTGTCAGCCACAGAGAGCCAAGCTGTGCTGCTTCCTCACCCCACCTGCCTTTCACCTGTCTGCTCTCTGCCCCTCCCCTGCCCTTCTCCTGGGCAAAGCACTCCTGGTGGCCTCTAACTTCTTCTACCCTCCCGCTTCCTCAGGATGACAGAGTGGCCAGAGGGAGCCTCGGTCAACACGGCCCCACCTGTGACAGTGAGAAGAGGATGGAACCCAGAGGACGGGGCCTGAAGGACCACCCGGGCCACCGGCAGACAGCACCCCCAGAGCCCCAGCGGGCCACACTTCCCGGTGCAAGCTCACCTCCCACGCATGCAGCTTGAACCGCAGGCCCAGCTGTGTATAGTCAATGGCGGTGTTATCCCTCAGCTGTGCCAGGGCCAGACGGAAGTCACACAGGGCCTCCTGGAACCTGTGGGCAGTGGGGGAGCCAGCGGCGAGGGGGACCTCAGTGGCTGCAGGGAAAGGGGCCAAGCCCTGCCCCAGCCTCCCCACCACCCCAGCTCCAGGGACACCTGCTAGGGGGCAGTGGTGGTCACCCAGGTCTCAGCACATGGTGGGCCCTCAAGTCCCAACACACGGGTCATGGACAGACTGGCTGTGAGGGGCATGGGGGCACCACATCCGGGGTGTGAGGTGATGCCAGCTCTGATCCAGTCCTGATTCCTGGGGACCTCACTCACTCTGCCGCCTAGAGCCCCTGTCTGTGCCCCAGACCCTCTTCCACATTTCCCTCCTGCTTCATAGGACCCCCACCCCTGTGGGCCTCCTGCCGCAGAGACCGGCTGGACACTCCTTGGCCTCCACTAGAATCCCCATCTCCTCCAAGGAGGCTCCTGGACCCATGAGAGGAGGAGGTTGTCCCCAGAGCCTGCCTGCCTGGCATGGGGCCTGCCTGCCGTGGGGCTTGTCCTGGGGCTAGGTGGGGTAGGGGGAAGCCGGGCCTGTCCTGCAGAATGTTTCCTCCTCTGGGAAGGACCACAGTGCAAAGAGCCCAGGTGAGCATTGAGGACCCCAACCCCCTCCCTGCCCTGGGACACACCATTCCTGCAGCCCTGTTCTAAGTTCCCTCATCTGCAGAATGGGTGTAATCAATCACGCCATCCCTGCTGCAGCAACGATGTGGTGAGGAACAAAGGAAGAGGTGCCCGTGAAAGCGCCCTGTGAACCTCAGCACAGAGACAGGGCTCACCGCGTGGCTGTTCCCTGTGTCCCCCTCCGGCGTGACCAGTGTCCTCCTCCAGGCTTCCCTGAAGCTATGGAGGAGGGGGTGGGCAAGAGAAGGTGCCCCATGGGGAGAGAGGAGGCGGGGAGCACAAGAATGAACTTTGCAGAGACAAAGGGCCCTCAGAGAAGAAACGAGACACCTCTGTGCTCACCTCTCCAGCTGGAAGCTGGCCACTCCTCGCTGGAAGAAGCCCACAGCCATGCAAGTGTCCTTGGTCACTGCTTGGTCAAATGCCTGAGGACAGGAATGCCCACAGATCACCAAGGTCTGCAATTCCATCACCCCTGTGTCACAGATACAGCCCAGACAGATGACCAGTGACGGGGGGGGGGCCCCCCCCACGGAATTTCACTGGGCCCCACAACAGCCTGCATGCAGGGCATCACCATTCAGTTTCCCTCAGTGGCACAACCTAAACCAGCCTGAGCTCCCGAGGTGCAGAGAACACAGCCACAGTCCAGTCTGTTTACCGTAATGACAAGGGGGTACAAAAAAAGGAAACACTGTGGCACATTAATGATAGTTACCTCTGGGGGATGCAGTTATGCAAGATTTTTGTCTTTTTAAAACCCTACGTGGGGAGGGGCGCCTGGGTGCCTCAGTCGGTCAAGCGTCCGACTTCGGCTCAGTTCATGATCTCACGGTTTGTGAGTTCGAGCCCCGTGTCGGGCTCTGTGCTGACAGCTCAGAGCCCGGAGCCTGCTTCGGATTCTGTGTCTCCCTCTCTCTGACCCTCCCCCGTCCATGCTCTGTCTTTCTCTGTCTCAAAAATAAACATTAAAAAAACCCTTAAATCCTATGTGGGGAATAAACTTCAGAATTCCCTGAGCCTGCAGGATGGGTTAACAAGGCGTGAAAAACTAGAAAGCCACAGGATGTTCCCACCCAAGTTTGGGTAAAGGAGATTAGGCAAAGTGCGACAAAGGTCCCAGTATAGGACAAAGGCACAGGAAGAGGGACTCTCGGGATGAAAACATCCAAGGTGAGGTGAACAACATTAGGTATCCAGGGCGGAAAAGCCCCCCAACTTAGTTTAATAGCAGAAAGCTGCTTTCACAGGAAGGAAGGACCAAATTAGGTAAATAGGGATATAGTCGCTGCGGGTGAAGTTGCCCAGAGCAGAGCTAATTAGCAAAATAAAGGTGCTTTGTTGACCCAGAGGTAGCCTGCTCAGTCTTTCCGGTCCCCTAGGCGAGTTTAGGTAAACAAGTCAAGTCTGCTGTAAACAACCTTTCGCTAGGAGCCAGGATTTTGTTTTCTGTTAACCCAAACCCCTAACCCCGAATATCTCCAAGACCCCCTTTCCCTCACGTCCACGAGTTAACGTTCGCAGTTTCATTGTCCCTTTGTGCACGTCCATCACCATGTTGGTAAGCCTTCGGATCCTAATAAAAACGGAGCAAAGACCCTTACTCGGGGCTCTCGTCTTCTCCTGGACATTAGTCGTCTCCCGCTTTGAATCCTGGGTCTGCTTTCTTGCTGGACAAGAACTCCAGACCCAGAGTCCATGACAACCCTATTTCTGATAGTTCTCATGAAAGGACACACTCCTTATCTATTAGAATCAGGAAGAACAAAAGTTTTAGTGTGTGTGTAAAGCACAGCTCTTCCCTACACCTCACTCAGAAATGACGTTGTCTGTTCCTAACGAGGACAGTGGCTATCAGTTAGACACAGGCAATCGGTCGGAGGGGCTTCACGCTCTTACAATCTGGCCAAATGGGGGGCTTGTGCAGCCCTGGGTTTGACCTAAGGTTGAAGGGATGCACGGAGGCCCTGATGCGGGGGGCGCTCAGTGCCAGAGAGGTCCATTTGTTTGCCACCCTGCCAGGAACAGCAACCAAATCAGGCTCACACAGGTTCCTATCAACAGACCACAGTCCTCTCTACACCCCTCCTCACCTGCCCTGCTCCCCAGAGACACTTGTATTCATTGCAGCAATTCTGTCTGCTTTCAAAAATCTCCACGTTTCCAATTAAAGTGCCCATGCTTTAATTACTGAATTTTATTGTCTTTCCACAGTCCTCCCTCTCCTATTGGGTAGAGGATTTAATACCGTATTCTTCTGCTCACCACCTCTGGCCCCTCTGTCAGGTTAAATCACAGTTTATAAGTAAGTGATAACTGGATTGGCCTCACACCCACCATTCGCTGTTGAACTACCTGCTGTCAGCGATTGTGTTCTCGTTCTTAGGTAACATTTTAAAACTGAAATTGTTCCTGAGAATTGTAGATTTGTATGCAGATGTAAGGAATGACAGAGGAGATCCCTTGTGAGATTTGCCCAGTTCTGGCCCCCCCCCCCCCAACTCCTGTGGTGAATTTTTGCAAGATATTGACATGGGCACTCTCCTACAATACCTAATTCTCTTTTCATTTGTGTCATTTTCCAGGTAACTGTCACTGATGGTCTCCACAACTGTAGGATCCTGTTTCTTTTTACTGGGGACATTTGGGGACCAGAACAATGAGTAGAGTGCTGCTGGATTTTTGCGGAACATGAATCACTTTAAAGAACACAGAGCACTTAAAAGGCGGCGAGTGGCTCGGTGCTGCCCCCTCCGCAGAGGCAGGTATGTGTGTGTGCCCGTGTGCACTTTTGAGTCTTGCTTCTGTTTTGGGGGACATACTGGGAAACAGAAGTACTCAGATCAGACGAGACAGACCTCATCTCCTTGCCAGGCATCTGATGAAGTCCCCTGCTCTAAACTCTACACCTCGGGAAGCAGGTAAGTCCCCTCCAAGCAAGATCCGGCCTCGAGCCTACTTCCGTATATGTTAGACCGTGAGCACCTGAACCACTAGCAAGAACCCCGGCCTTTCTCCTTGACTGGGGAGTGTGGCACGTGGTCATCACCTAGTGGAGGTGGTGAGGGAGCCCAGCACCTCCATCATGGCCCAGACTCGGTTCTGGTGGGATCCCCCGATCACACAGTTCCCACCTGCTTCAGGTGTTCATTGAGGCGGAACCCTGGGGGGACATCCCCAGGTGACTATCAGGAAGAAGGGCGGGGGGGGGGGGACCCCGGGCTCATCCCTGTAGCTGGGTCTTTATCGCACCGCTCCTTGACCCGGAGCAAGGTAAGTAAGGTTCCCCAGGGCCAGAGAACAGCCTCCCCAAGAGGTGGGGGTCTCCGCGACCAACCCTGGGGGCGCCCGGCTGTCAGGCCCCCGACTCACCCGCAGCGCGGCCTCCGGGTCCCCGGCCAACAGGTGCACGCAGCCCACGTTGAAGCACATCCTGGCGGACGGCTCCGGGTAGCCCGAGAAGAGGCGCAGGGCACAGTCCCAGTCCCCGCGCGCTACGGCCTGCGCGCCCCGGTCCCATTCCCGCAGCAGGTCCCCGAGAGAGGGCATGGCGGCGTGGACACCCGCGGAACCGTGCGGCGGAAGTCCGCGCTTCCGGGCGGGAGCGCGGCGGGCGCGGCCGGCGGCGGCGGCGGGACGACTGCGGGCCGAGGGCCGCGAGGCAGGGCCTTCAGGGTCGGGAGACTAGCGTGGGGATGTGGGGCCCCCACTCCGAGGCCGGCAGGGTATCCGGGCGGGACGCGGCGCTGGGAGCGCGCGGAGTCCACGAGCCGCGGGTGCGCCACGTCTCCTGCTGCCCAGAGCGCCCTCTAGCGGCAGAGCGACCCCGCCCCTCCCGGAGCCAGCCCCGCCCCTCCCCCACGGCCCCGCCCCCGCAGGGCCGCCCCTCCGCATCCGGCCCCGCCCCCCGCTTATGCCGCGCCCCTCCGGACTTCCGTCCGGAGCTCCCCGAGTTCGCTCTCCCCAGCCCGCGGCGCCTCCGGCAGTGTGGGTCTCGGTGCGCCGGGGAAAGCCGTCCGGGCCTGCCGCTACCGCCGCGGCCGGGCCAGGGTTCCGGGCGGACCCCGCGGGCTCAGGTGAGAGACCGCCGGGGCGCGGGCAGAGGTGGGGCGGTCTCGGGGTCTGCAGGGGCGCGGGGAGGCAGGGCAGGGCCGAGCGGGGCTGTGGCCGAGCCGGCGGCCTGGCCGGCCCTGAAGGGGGTGGGGGTGGGCCCTCCACTGCGGCCCCTGCCCCGCCAGCCCGCGGACCGAGTCTGCGAGGAGCGAAGGCGTCGTCGTTCCGGCTCCGCTGGGAGGGAAGAGCCGCGGGGGCCGGTCCTGGGGCCGGGGGCGGGCCACGGTGGTCTGGGGTCTCCCACGGCGGCGGCCCGCGCTCACCCTCGCTCAACTTCGGGGGGAAACTCGGGGGAGGCCCCGAGTCTCATTCGGGGAAAACCAGGTCGTGGTGACGTGCCAGTGGCTCATCTGGGGCCCGTCGGTCCTGTGCTCCCTGTCCCTGGCCCAGATGGAGGCTCAGAGGGCAGGACTAACCCAGCCCAACCCACCCCTGTGGCAGGCGGAGCCCCTGCCCTGTGCCCTGCACAACCTCATTCACTAGAAAGTGGAGGCCCTCCGGGGCCAGGAGCCTCTCCCTGCAGGGGCCCCAGCCTCTCGGGGGCACACGTCCTTACCGCCACTCCCATACAGGTCTTACCTGCTGTCACATCCTTCACACCTGTGTTAGAGAAACAACCAACAGGTGTACAGAGAGATGGATTGACTTTAAGCAGCTGTGGGGGCTGGAAAATCCAAAATCTGCGGGAGAGCCAGGGAAGAACTCAGGGTTCAACTTGAGTCTGGGGGCAGAGTTCACTCTGTTCTCTTAAGGCCTTCCCCTGACTGGATGAGGCCCACCCATGTTAGGGAGGGTCATCTGCTTTAGGACAAGTCTACTGTTGTACATGTTAATTTCATGTAAGAAATGCTTTCACAGCAACCTGTGACTGTGTTTGACCAAACATGTGGACACCACGGCTTTGCCAGGGTGAAACAAATGAGCCATCACAACACCCAACCCCAGAAATGCTCCCGTAGACAGGCTCTGTCCTTTCATGCACATAAGAGAACACCCTGGCCCCCACGGTCCAGGGGAGGCTCGGGTCCTGGATGGCTGTCAGAACTCAGAACTCAGCTGTAACTCAGGGACCTGACTTGCCTTCCATGTTGGCCATCCTCTCTCCCCCGTCGGGCCTGTGGGTCCTGTGACCTGGGAGCCACTCTGCTCGGTTATGGCTGAGTCTCCTCCCTGGGTGATCCTGGTCCAGCTCTCTGACCCTATAGACTTCTTTACCTGAGGAACGGGAGCGCGGAGTCCTGGCCTGGCAGAGCGCTGTGACGACTCACAGACATCGCCTGTGATGTGCTTGGAAGGGCACCTGTGCCCCCGAGGACCTGCTTCCTCCCCAGTGGGGGCTGAGGCTCCCCGTCCTGCTGGCCTGGAGGTGGGCGGCAGCACTGGTTCCCTCTCCCACCGTGCTGCTCCCACACCGGCTCTGGGTGGCCTTCCTGCAGACCTGTCAGGGTCACTAGTAACCTCCTCCCTGGGCATGGCTCATCCTCCCCACTCATTGCCTGGCCTCAGGGACATGGCCCCCCCCCCCCGGGGGCCCCCGGGCCCCCCCCCCCACCGGCTGCCCCTCCTGCCTCCCCTGGGCTCTGGCCTGGCCTTTCTGTGCCCTCGCTCCCCAGTGGTCCCACTGTTTGAATTGCCTTTGGGCACTTGCCGCATCTCTCTTTTATCGACTTCTCTATTTCCATAATAAAAAGATGAAAAAAGGCCCATCCCTGTGCCTGTCACCATACCCTAACATTCACCGCAGCTCTGTTCATGAAGCCCCAAACTGGAAACAACCTAGCTGTCCTCCAGTGGGCGAACGGTTAGGCAGACTCGCACCCACACGTGGACGAGGGATGGGCCGTGGGCACACACAGCTTGCGGGGAAGGAGGCTCAGGGGCATGCTGAGTGGGCAGAGATCGCATACTTTGATTCCATCTGTATACGTTTCTAGAGGTGACAAATGATATAAGCGGAGAGATTAGTGGTTGCTTGGGGCCGCTGACAGATTAATGGCGTGGGGGTGGCTATAAAGGGGCAACCCTGGGGGGTCCTGTGGGGTGGAACGTTCTGTATCTTGACTGAGTCGGTGTCAGTCCCTCATTATGATTTTGACGGTGGTAACGTCTTGAGAACTGGATAAAGGGTATGTGAGATGTCTCTTTCTCTCAGAACTGCGTGTGTATCTCAAAATAAATTCTTAATTCAAAACCATTTTTAAAGAAGGATTCAGTCACAGGTTTTTCTGTTTTACAGATGCCCTGAAAGTTGGAGTGATTACTGAGCCTAAGATTCTTCCAGCTCTGAAATTCAGCTGCTGACATGTTGTTTCGAAAACTTACATCTGCTAAAATCTGTTCCAAGTAGGTGCTTCAGCGTTTGGAGCGGCCGCGGCCTGAGGACCGGTCCGAAGCTGGCCTCTGCAGGGGGCCCTGGCACCCTCCCCAGACGTGCAGTGGCTGTGGCATCGGAGGGGAGGCCGCCCAGGCTCCTGCCGCCACCAGCTGCCTCCCTGTCAGCTTTACGGGCAGACCCGCTAAGGTTGTGTGGATCACACAGTTCCTGCCTCAGTAGAAGAGTCCAGAAAAGGGAACCATTTCCTCAGGTAAGCGCATGACTCAGATAGAGGTCGGCATGGTGCTGGAACTTATTTGCCGAGGAGGGCAGTGCTTCTCTGTGGTTAATTCTGGAGCACGAATGTCCAAGAAACGGGCAGGAATTGGTTTTAGCCCAATACAAAGAAGTCGGGTTTGTTTGTTTTTTTCCTTTAAAAACTGGGCACTTTCCAAGACAAAATGAAATAAAAATAAGATTTTCCCCTCAGGAAATAAAAATAGTCTTGGTGTGATTGAAATGCGTGGTGTTAGAGATCAGCTTCCTGAGACCCGGCCCTTCCTGGGGTCAGCGAGGAGGCACCCGCCGCAGGGCACCGCGTCTCTCAAAGCCACCAGTTCCGCGGAGGACCTCGCCCTCCACCGCCCAGGAAACGTTGAAGGAAAACCAGAGGGACGAGGAAGGCAGAGCTCAGGCCGCTGCGGGGTGCTCTTCTTGGTGGCCGAGACCGCCTGTGTGACAGGGAAGCCGTGCCCGCAGGAAGCGCCTCAAGACTCCTCTCCTTTAAGGTGCACGGTTGAGACTGTAGAACGGGGAACGTGTCAGCGCTCCTGCAGGACTCCATGCTGGGCAGACCCTCATCCTCTGGGCGATGGGAGTCCTGGGCCGGCAACACCGACGCGCCCTCACGCGCCCCTCTACTCTCAGGCCGAAGCCAGTGCCGGTTTCTCGCCTTGTGGTTTCAAACGCAGAACGAGCCGCCACCGGGCTCTGAGCCAGTTTCTGCACGCGGCCCTTCACGGTGGGTGTCTGGGCCAGGCCACACATGAGACCGCCTCGCAGCTGTGGGGGACCCTGCGCCATGGCCACCGCAAGGCATGGCCCGCTGTCTGCGGGGGGAGCGAGAAAGGGGCAAGGCTCAGAGCCCTCGGGCCGACTGACACCGTCACGTTACGCCCCGTGACTCTGATAGAACAGCCTGGGAGGAAGGAAAGAGCTTATGGTGCAGGAAGTAGGTGAATGAGCTAGTGGATGACACCTTGAGACATGCAGGGCTGGATCTGAAGTCCAAGGATGAGGGGCCGGTCTGAGGAGGTCCCAGAGAGCGGTGACGGCTGTTTGCGGAGGAGGGAGCCAGGCCAGCACAGCAGCTCTGGAGGTCGGAAGGAAGCAGAATATCTGTGAGCCGTTCGGAGGAAAAGGCAAATCCAAGTAGCCCGTATTTAGTCAAAAGGAAGGAAATCATGCCCAAAAAAGTAAAAAGCAAAGGGAAGAAACCAAAAGGAAGAAGAGGGAGTTAATTAAGAGAAAAGCTTAATTAATTAACTAATTAATTAAATCAGAAAGTATAAAATTGTTAAGACGGGGCGCCCGGCTGGCCCGAGCGTGCGACGCTGCATCTCAGGGTCGTGAGTTGGAGCCATGTGTTGGGTGTAGAGATTACTTAAAAATAAAGTAAATTAAAAAAAAATAAAGTCAGTGTCTCAGTTAAAACAATAAAGTCAGAAAGACCAAACACCAGTTCTTGAAAAACAAACAATGAAATAAACTCCTGACGAGGTAGAGGGAAACCAGTGAAGTGAGACAACACTCAAGCTTAATGAGAAGCGCAGACGTTCTGCGTCCACGCTGGCACCACGGTCGTAAATGGGAAAACCTCAAGAAATCGATGCCTTATGCAAACACACCTGAGAAGAAACAGAAAATCGGAGCAGGTGGTGAGCAGCAGGGACACAGCGGGCTGCAAAGTTCCCGCCACGCGGGCACCGGGCTGGCAGCTTCCTGCCACGCACGGGTGTGTGCTCCCAGCCTGCGTGAGCCCCCGGCCCCAGCTGGGCCTTGAGACAGTGCAGCCCCTGCCTTGTTCCAGCTGTGACCGCCAGGGACCCTCACACAGGGCCACTGGGCCAGGCTGCTTCAAGTGCCTGACCCCTGGTGACCAGGGCAGGATGTTTTTTCTGTTCTGAGCCACTGAGTTTGGGGCCGTCTGTTTGCCAGCAGCAGATAACCGGTGGTGAGGGCTTAAAGCCGTCCAGCAGAGCGAGGGCCGTGGGGAGAGGACCTGGTGTCCAGTGGGAAGTGACCACCGCCCCTGCGGCCTGTCGGGGGGCTCATGGAGGAGTGAACGGTGGCCCCGTCTCCTTTCTGCAACTAAGATTCCTTTATAGTTTATTTGAACTTTTAAGATACCATTTGTGGTTTTCTTTTCTTTGTGAATATAAAGTGGAGTGTGTTCATGGTAGAATATTTAGCAAGTACAAAAAAGTTAAAATAGAAAATACAGTAAAACCTTGGATTGTAACTTGTTCTGTGAGTGTTCCACAAGATGAGCAAACATTTCTAATAAATTTTAACTTGATAAACGAGCCATGTCTTGCAATACAGGTAGCACAGAACGCCGAACGTCACGTGATCACAACTGAGCCAATGGTTCTTCTCTCTCCTTCCCTCTGTCTCTCTCTCTCTCTCTCTCTCTCTCTCTCTCTCTCTCTGTGGGATTGTGGGTGATCGTCTTCCATGCTTGGATGTTTGGTCTCAGGCTGTGGTGTTTGGCAGATATCCGTGATTTTTCAGAATGTTACAAGGGGCCCTCAGCTGGCACTGGTGTATTTTTGTCACTTCAAAGCACCAATGGACAGTCCTTTGCTTTTCCAGACAAGAGTAAGCTTAGGAATGCTTTGCTTCATTCTAGGTCAGGCTGCCTGCAGATAGAGACCCTTTCCTCTGCTGCCTTATTGCCGGTTCCATTAAATACAGTCTATGACAAGAGTTTGTTAATACTGTGCTGTAATCAGCATCTGTGTGAACGTTTGCAATGGCCCCCATGCAGAGAAAGGTTGAAAAGAAAGGCAGGAAGAAGGAGATGATCACGGTGGAAGTCAAGAAGGAAATCGTCGAGAAGTACGAACGAGGGATGCGAGTGGCCGAAATTGCAAGATTTTATAAGAAGTCTACGTCAACCATTTGCACAATATTAAAGAAGAAAGAAGAAATAAGGGGGCTAGATGCAGCGAAAGGAGTCACGAGAATATCAAAGCAACGGCCACGTGTTCTGGAAGATGTAGAGAAGTTGCTTCTGGTTTGGATAAATGAGAAACGGCTGGCAGGTGACACCGTGACCGAGAACTTTATCTGCGAGAAGGCAAAGGCCTTGTACACCGACCTCGTAAGTAAACTGCCAGGTACGTCAACAGAAAACGAAGAAGGCTTCAAAGCAAGCAGGGGATGGTTTGATAACTTTAAGAGGAGAAGTGGCATCCGTAGTGTTGTGAGGCACAGAGAGGCTGCGAGTTCGGATGCTAAGGCAGCCGAGGTGTTTGCTACCGAGTTCCAGAAGCTCATGGCTTCCGAGTGTTACCTGCCGGAGCAAGTTTTTAACTGCGATGAGACGGGGCTTTTTTGGAAAGAGATGCCAAAGAGGACGCACATTACGGAAGAAGAGAGTGCAGTGCCTGGTCACAGGCCCGTGAAAGACCGTCTCACCCTCTTGTTTTGCGCTAACGCGAGTGGGGATTTCAAAGTCAAGCCCCTGCTCGTGTATCATTCCGAGAACCCACGAGCCTTCAGGAAATGCAGGGTGCAGAAGAGCCAGTTAAACGTCATGTGGAGGTCCAACAGCAAGGCTTGGGTCACTCGTATCTTGTTTGTCGAGTGGGTCAACGAGGCCTTCGGTCCTGCAGTGAAGAAATACCTTTTAGAGAAGAATCTGCCGCTCAAAGCCTTGCTGGTGATGGATGATGCCCCTGCTCATCCTCCAGGCTTTGAGGACGACCTGCTGGAGGAATTCGAGTTCATTAAGGTCAAGTTCCTTCCTCCCAACACTACTCCAGTCCTCCAGCCCATGGATCAGCAGGTCATTTCAAACTTTAAACAGCTTTACACCAAAGCACTATTTCAGCAATGCTTTGAGGTGACCAAAGGAACAAACCTTACCCTCCGAGAGTTTTGGAAAAATCATTTCCACATCGTGAACTGCCTCCAGATCATTGATAAAGCCTGGGATGGGGTCACCAAGAGAACCCTCAATTCTGCTTGGAGAAAACTGTGGCCCGATTGTGTTCTTGGACCTGACTTAGAGGGGCTTGCTCATGAACAGCAGCCGCCAGTTGTCGGTGAAACGGTGTCCTTGGGGAAGACCAGGGGACTGGAGGTGAGTGAGGACGACAGTCAGGAGCTGGTGGAGGAGCATGGCCAGGAGCCGACCACCGGCGAACTGATGGGTCTGCATCGCGAGCAGCAGCAAGAGGTTATGGGGGAGATCTCGTCTGCAGGGGAGAAAAAGGCCGAGGAATCCCTCACTTCAAGTGAGATTAGGGAGATGTGTGAAATGTGGGAAACAGTGCAGAAGTTTGTAGAAAAGCACCACCCGAATAAGGCTGTAGCAGTGCGAGCGATGAATCTGTTCAACGACAATGCGATGTCCCATTTCCGTGAAATCCTCAAACGGAGGCAAAAGCAAGTGTCATTGGATAGGTTCCCTGTTAAAGTTGCACGAAAAGAAAGAGATTCCACGGAGCCAATAGACAGCAGTGATTCCGTTAGTGATGGTGAAAGTCGTCCTACCCAATAACCCTCCTCTCTCTTGTCTCCCTCACACCAGCCACGAAGGTTTTCAAAGGTCAGTGCAGGTTAATTTGTTGATTTTCCTTTATATTTTGTATTTTCTTTATTGTTTTGTATTATATTTCATACGAACACTTTTGAGTGGTGGAATGAATCATCTGCATTTCCATTATCTCTTATGGGGAAATTCACTTTGATATACAAGTGCTTTGGATCACAAGCATGTTTCCGGAACGAATTATGCTCGCAAACCAAGGCGTTCCTGTACAGAGAACTGGCAGGCACCCCCCTCCCCCCCCCCCCACCAGGGCCCACATGTCCTTCGTGTCCGTGCCGTGTCCCGGGCTGACACCACCGGCTGTCCTGCGGCACACGCCGTAACATTGCTGCTCTCGGTTAGGTTCAACGCTAGGGCACATTGTGAGGACTTTGTTTCCCGTGACATTAGATGTTTTTGTAAAATGTCTTTTTTAAGTAGCCATTCATCATTCATAGGACTTCTACCCTGTTGTTGGATATTAGGAGGCCCTCACGAGAGCAGGTGTGGAGCTGGAAAGCCCAGCTGAACTCTGGGGCCAGTGATTTCTGCCCCCTGCCCTCGGGCCATGCCGCAGCCTGCGCCCCATGGGAAAGGGTCCCCGAAGAGCCTCCTCTCGTGAGGGTCCCCAGCCAGGACTCTGGAGGGGCCGGTTCCTCCCCGAGCTGCAAATGCAGGCCTAGACCCCACTCGGTCTTGACAATGTGCACATGGTCGTGAGTGTGCGGAAGGGCGCCGCTCCAGACCAGAATCAGCACCCGCCATGGCGGCGGCCAGAGAGGCACACAACAGCAGTTCTACCTGTACCCCTCGCGGTATCTCTGAAAAGTTACCTTCTTGTATTTCAAATTGGCAGTCTTAATTTTTTAATTTTTTTTTTCAACGTTTATTTATTTTTGGGACAGAGAGAGACAGAGCATGAACGGGGCAGGGGCAGAGAGAGAGGGAGACACAGAATCGGAAACAGGCTCCAGGCTCTGAGCCACCAGCCCAGAGCCCGACGCGGGGCTCAAACTCACGGACCGCGAGATCGTGACCTGGCTGAAGTCGGACGCTTAACCGACTGCGCCACCCAGGCGCCCCATCAGTCTTAATTTTTAAAGAAAGGAACGGCCTGAAGTTAAACCAGTAAGTTAAATGTCGCTCCCACGGATACGGACAAAATAAAAGACACCAACAAACGTTGGCAAGGATGTGCGGAAATTGGGCCCCTCGTGCGCTGTGGTGGGAAGCAGTCCGGCCGCCTGTCAGCCAGCGAACCAGCTCCGCTCAGCCCGGCAACTCTACTCTCACAGAAATGACGGCACACCTCCACGTACAGCATCCATGCACAAATGTCCACGGCAGCCACAAGGTGGAAACAACCCAGATGCCCGTCCACAGAGGAGTGTGGTCCGGCTGTACCGTGGAATATTATTCAGCCGTGAAAAGGAGTAAGTACCAGCAGTGCTACAACGTGAATGAGCGTTGAGAGCAGCGTGCTGGGTTGCAGGACCCGGAGGCAAAAGGCCGCGTATCATATGACCCCTTTTCTTTGAGTGTCTAAAACAGGCAAATCCCGGGAGACGGAAAGTGGATTTGTGGTTGCCACCGAGAGGGCCGATGGGGAGCGACTGCTAATGGGTGGTCTTTCTGGGGTGATGGAAACGTACTGCCATTAGGTAGCAGCGATGTTTTCTCCTACCTAAATATACCAAAACACCGAGTTGTGCACTTTAAAGGGGTAGGTTTCATAGTGTGTGTATCATATAAATAAAACTTTTTAAAAATCACTGAGCTGTGTGCCCGGACATTTGATTCAGTTGAAAACGAATTGAAATGGCTTTCAAATTAGCATTCTCCTTTAACAAAACAGACCTGAGTGGCCCCTGTTTTCAGGGTCCAGGCTGGACGCCCAAACATGTCTGGGGTGGCGACCCCAGCTCCACTGGCATTTGGAATTTGGGGACGGCAGGGTGAATCCCGATGCTGTTGTGCAGAGTGGTGCCTTTGGGCCCGGTGCTCATCTCTGCGGAGGCGGCCAGGCACCTCCAGGTCCCCTGTTGTCTGGCCGGCTGCTTACCCAACGAAGACCCAGCAGAAATGTGTGAATCACACATGTGCTTTAAAATTTTCTGGTCCAGGGAGCCTGGCTGGCTCAGTTGGTAGAGCATGAGTTTCTTGACCTCAGGGTTGTGAGTTCAAGCCCCACGTTGGGCATAGAGCTTCTGTTAAAAAACATTAAAAAAAAGTGGGGGGTGGAGTTAATTTTTCTGAACGTTTATTTTTGAGAGAGAGAGTGCAGGTGCAGGAGAGGCAGAGAAAGGGGGGGGGACAGAGGCTCTGAAGTGGGCTCTGCACGACGTGGGACTTGAACCCATGAACCGTGAGGTCATGACCTGAGCTGAAGGCAGACGCTTAGCCGACTGAGCCACCCAGGTGCCCCAGGAGAGGAAATTAATTTTCATTTCCTAAGTCCAGTGTTCCCCGAATATCACCGTTCCCACCTGTAATCGATATAAGAGATCAGTACAGAGACATTTGATGCCTTACGCCAGGTACATTTTGCACTGAAAAGTAGGGCGCAGCTGACCTGCTGGATGGTGGGGGGTGGGGGGTGGGGGGCAGGGCTGGGGGAGACAGGGACTCCAGGCCTCAGGGGCCTCCCCCATGAGGCCTACGGCTTCGGGGGCTCCAGGGCTGGTGCCAGCTGATGACCCTCTGACGGCCCCTCGGCATTCCTGCCGCATGTCTTATGGGTAACACGGGCGGGGGCTGCCACCCATAGGGCCTGGGAAGGCTGGGTGCCGTGTGGGGGGCTGGGCACCGTGTAGGGGGCGCCAGGAGGAGTCCAGGGCTCTGGCACCCCCGGCAGTGAGGCTGCCTCGGGCAGTGGAGCCTGGGAGCTGGCAGCTCCGTTGTCACCCCCTCCTCGGCCTTGGCCACCCCTGTGATAAAGGGCACAGGACTCACCTGGAGAGGGGGCCACACAGCGGTGCCGCCTGTTTGCAGAAAGCATTATAGGAAAGCGGTGAAGGGACCATGACTTGGCGTTCACACGAGAGTGCTTTGGTGACATCTAAAGTCACTTCAGTGACCACAGTGTGGAGAGAATCGTGCTCTGTGGCCGCAGGAAGCCCCCTGGCCTTGTTCTCCTGGGACGGAGGGACAGACAGGCAGAAGGCTCAAGCCAGTAGCCAGCCGCCTTGGACTGCCTTGGACCAGCCACGTAGGTCCTTCCGGATTCTTTTAACTTCTGACCTTTTCCTTTACTTCCCACCTTTCTGGGAGGCTTGGAGGGCAGCTTCAGGTCAGGACACACCGTGAAGTGTCTGCTCCATGCTGTCCTGTCCTGGCCAGGAGCCTGGCCCTCTGGGCTTCCAGCCAGGTCTCGGGCTTTGCTGCCGTGCGCCTCCCACGCATGTGGCCTCTGTGCAGAGAGACCACCGGCCGGAAGAATGTGCCTCCCAGCCCGTCTCAGAGCAAGCCAGGGCCCCGCGCTGCTCTCCCTCCTGTAGAGGTGACGAGACAGCCAGGTCACAGCTGGGGCTGTGCATGTGTCAGCCGCACTCGCTCTGTGCTTCCCATGCCCTCACTTGCCCCAGGCTGCCCACTTCACCGTGCGGCTGGGCCGGGACCCCAGCCTGAACTGTGCAGGATGCCAGCGGGCCCTGCCTGGAGGAGACAACACTGCTGGGAGGGTGGCTGGGGCGTGGCCGAGGGGCAGGGTTTCGGGAGGCCTTGGGTCCTGCTCGGTCAGTGCGCCCTGGAGCATCGGGAGCCCGTAGCAAACACTGGACATGGCTTGTGTCGACCCCGATAATTAGACGGCCAGTTGTTTTGCCAGCAAAATGGGCTCCCGCGGGAATGGCAGAGGCTTTGCGATCCGGGACGAGCAAGCCATGACGAAGCCACAGGCAAGTCTGGAGAACAAAGGAGAGGAAGGTTACTTTACAGAGAAAAAGGAGACGGTTGTGAGGCACCGCTTGGAAGGGAAACCGCTTGGAGGAAGGGAGGGCTCAGGGTGCCGGCAGCTTCTCCTTGGCCGAGTCCTTCCTGCTGAGGGGTGAATGAAGCCCCAGCTAAAGTAGTGTGCACGCACGCACAGGTGCCTCTCTTGCTGCTGGGTGTGCGGCCGGCGCAGAACGCCAGGGCTGAGGGCTCCCCCTGCTGGCTGTCTGGCTCCACGTAAAAGGGCGGTTCCTTCATTCGGCTTCCCATCTGCGGGGCCTGGCGGGCCTGTGCGGCTGTCAGGTAGGCTCTCCTGGGCAAGCTGTCCAGAGGAGGCCACCTGGCCCGCGCCCTCCTGCTGCCGGGCTTGCCGCTGGGCCAGGGGCTTCCCGCTCAGGTGTGGAGCAGGGGCCAGGGAGCAGGGCCTCCGGAGTGAGTGGGTTCTTCGAGGCAGATGTTTTGTTGTGCCGCAGGGTACCCAGCAAGAACCTGGCTCAGGTTAGCCGCCTTTCAGGAAAATACATGGTGCTTAAATGAGTTGCACATTTTGACCGTTCATTTTAATTTTTTTTTTTTCAACGTTTTATTTATTTTTGGGACAGAGAGAGACAGAGCATGAACAGGGGAGGGGCAGAGAGAGAGGGAGACACAGAATCGGAAACAGGCTCCAGGCTCCGAGCCATCCGCCCAGAGCCCGACGCGGGGCTCGAACTCACGGACCGCGAGATCGTGACCTGGCTGAAGTCGGACGCTTAACCGACTGCGCCACCCAGGCGCCCCTTGACCGTTCATTTTAAACAGAAGTTCTCAAACTGCCAGGAGCCGCTCACCCCAGTGGGCTCCTGGAAGGCCGTCCGTGGGAAGGCCTGCTGGTTGTGGTGTGGGTTGCAAACCCAGAACCACATTTCCAGCTACAGATGATTTGGACTCCACAGTTTTTAATTTTCACTTTAAAATGAGGTCAATTAAAAAAGTCTGTCGTGGGGTGAACTTGAACTTGCTCTCTGCCAGCTGTTTTCATTCTCAGAAGCACATGGGTTTCAGTGTGTTGCTGTACTTTGTCCAGGGCTCGGGAACAGAACAAAGGTTGTGTAATGAGAGCTGAGCGGAGTTTCTGTGGCCTCGGTCCTTTCTCCAGGAGGAGGGGGTAGGTCCGTCTACCTGTCCTGGGACTGGCCTGTGAATGGAGCCCACTGCCCGCCTCTGGGTGGCCAGACGCTGGGTGCTATGCTACTTAGAGAAAAGGGGAAGAGAGCCTGTGGCAAATCTTGGAGTCGTAGGGGTTTGTCCACTAGAAAAAGGCCCCTCCCTCAAAAGGGCCATTTGGTCATCTGCCTCCTTCCTGGGCTGACCGGCGAAGCGGGTGGCTGCAGTGCAAAGGAGGTCGTCGGGGTCATGGCAGTGTGTGCTGTAGGCGGCGTGGAAAGAGCCTGACCACAAGGCATGGATGGACCACACTTGGTCTGCAGGACGGGCTTCCTCCTCTGGTGACCTGACTTGAAGGGGTGAGAGGAACCTTTGCCCTGCACCGATGCTAGTCTTTATTATAATTCTGATTGGACTGGGGCTCCACCTTTTTTTAAATTTATTTGAGAGGTGGAGGGGGGGATGAGTTGGGGAGGGGCGGAGAGGGAGAGAGAGAGAGAATCCCAAGCAGGCTCCACGTTGAGCGCACAGCCCAGTGTGGGGCTGGATCCCACGTCCCTGGGGTCATGACCTGAGCTGAAATCAAGAGTGGGATGCTCAACTGACTCAGACACCCAGGAGCCCCAGCTCTACCTTTTTAAAGAGGAGCCCCTCAGACCACACAAGGGTGGGGGGATAGCCAAAGAGAGGGGGTGGCCTGGGGGCCTGGCTGTGCCTGAAGGAGGGCTTCAGACAGGGCGCGTGGCAAGCCCTCGGCTTCCTTCTGAGACCCTTCTAGCAGCTGTCAGAGTGGCCTGCGGTTCAGAGGGCAGCACAGGGCACCTGCCTGCAGTCTGCCCAGAGACAGAGGCCAGGGGGAGGAGCCACCATTTGGGGTTTATTTAAACCACCCACATGGCTCTCGGTCATGCAGGTGGTGGGTGCTTGGCCCTGTGTTTTTGGATGGTGGACAAAAGGGTGCTGAGCCAGAACTCTGTACCCTGGGGGGAACTCCCGCCCCCCACATCATGCTCTTTGCTCCTCCCCACCCCCATCCTTGTGTCCAGGAAATGCAGGCACAGGATGTGGCCCCAGGGGCTCACACTGCCCTTGGGGGTTTGCTGCTTGCTTGGGTGGGGCGTGGTGTGGAAGGACCCTGCCTAAGAGGCCCTTCTGCACATGTGCTACACATGCCATGAAGTGTCAAGGGCTCTAGAAACGTTAAACAATGGTGTTGACACCATGGAGAAGCCAGGTCAGGGCCTTGGCCTTGCTGAGGCCTGGAGGCTGCTCCAAGTTAGCGCAGGGAGGAACCAGGGTTGAAGGGCCGAACAGAGGAAGAAATGGGCGGGGCTCCTGGTGCCTCCTCAGGGAGGGGCCCACAGGACCTGGACGGTCTCCAGCTTCCCCTCATGGGGGCCGTCTGCTGGGCCCAAGAGGTCTCCTCCCTCTTGAGGCCACAGGGGCCTGAGAGGTCTCCTTGGCACAGCCCACGAGGGCACTTGTGGCACCGGACTGCCCCCTCAGCACCCAGCTTTGTGGGGACTCCCAGGAAAGGGACAGCAGTAAACAGACAGGTGGATCGGTGGGAGACTGTGACCCGGCAGGTGTCACGGGGGAAAGACCGTGAGGGACGAAGGTGGCACGTTGGCTACGTGTGAGACGAGCAGACAAACGAGGAGAGCCCCCAGCTCCTGCTGCTCCTTCCAGCAGAGAGCCTGGCCATGGGCCTGGAGGAGCACCTGTGCGTGTGCCCCATGGGGCCTGGCCAGTGTGCAGGGGTGCAGGTGCAGGGGTGGCCGAGACCCCCAAAGAGGGCGTGCTGTGGGAACAAGTCTCTGTCCCCCTGACTTGCTTGCTGTGGTGCATGAGGAAGGAGGCCTCCAGGCAGCAGGTCTGGTGGGGCGGGTTGGGTCTGGGGGCGGGGTCAGGGGCAAGGCCAGGTGTGGGAAGGGGGGGTTGGGGTACAGGGCTGGGGAAGGCCCGAGGGCCAGGGTCAGGCAGGTGTGTGAGGTGGGTCAAGGTGGTCTGGGGTGTGGGCAGGGTCTGGCATGGTGTGGGCCACGGTCAAGGTGGGGCAGGGGCAAGGGTAGGCCGCCGTCTGGGAGATGCTTTGGTCTTGCAGCTGGAGCGGAGCCCTCAGGATCTTCTGGTTTGGCACATTTGGCGTTTATTGTGGACTTGAGCTACCTTAACGTGATTTCGGAACAAGATCCAGGAGGAAACCCACAATAGAGAGAAATTATGATTGTGCTATGTTAAAGTGAGAGCTGTCCCTAAAGCGTCTTCCTGCTGAGAGTCCTTCTGTTTCTTGAGTTAGGTAGGAGACAGGATGGTTTATTGTGAGGAGAAGGAGGGGCCCTGGGGTGTGGGAGCCTGTGCCTGGAGCGTGCTGTACCCAGCGTGTGCAGTGCGCGTGGCAGGGGTGGCGAGTCGGGGGCGCAGTAACTCGGCACAACCCCGACCTGCAGGAAGGCGCCTGTCCCTCCTTGTCACCGCACGAGGGCCCATCCTGCACCCAGCACCAGGAGGGGAGGAGGGCTGCCGCACGCGGCGGGAGTGCTGACCCTGACCACGTGTCTCTGCAGGGAGGCTGGCACCCGGAGCGTCGGGGCAACGGCCAGGAGGTGAACAGCACACGACTGTAGCTTTTAATAGCTTTCCTTTGCATTAATTTTTCAAAATTTGCAAGCTTATTTCATTTTCCAAATACTCTGCTAATATGCATAATTGCCTTTATAAATAGTAAAAAGCCAGTTAAAAACAAATAAAAGTGAACAGTGGTGCAGGGAAAGAGCTGGAAGAAAACCCAGGTTTAGTCCCAGATGACCCCCTTTTTCTCACACGCAAATGAACGGCAATCCCCCTGGCTCTGGTGGAGGGTCAGACCGGATGTGGTCCCTTAGTGTCCGAGGGTGCTCTGACCGGTTCGGAACCAAACGTGGGGAAGCATCAGGGGTGTCTAGCCCCCCTGTTACGGCTGAGTTGTGTCCCCCTAAAAATTCATATGCTGAAGCGCTAAGCCCAGCACCTCAGGATGTGATCGTGTTTGGAGACAGCATCTTGACAGAGCTGATTAAGATGAAATGAAGTCATTAGGGTGGGCCCTCATCCACTCTGAGTGGTGTCCTTGTGTAAGAGATCAGGACACAGACATGCACAGAAGGAAGACACAGGGGGAAGACGACCGCGTTCACACCCAGGAGAGAGGCCTCGACACCTTGATATCTGGCTTCCCTTTTCCAGAACTGAGAGAGATTAGATCTGTGTGGTTTAAGCCATACGTTTGTGGTGCTTTGCTTTGGCCACCCTAGGAAAGGCATCCCCCCACCCCCGCAGGCCAGTCTGTGGGTGGGGGGGGTTGGGGGGGGTTGTAAGCTCGCCATGAGGACCACCCCCTCCTGTAGTCCTGTCTCTCCCTTTCTTTCCTGGTGAGAAGCCCAGGCCGGGCATCCATTCATCTGAGCTGTGGTAGGAGATGTGCACACCTCTGGGGTGGGTGTTCCAAGAAGAGAACCGTGCAGGCCGACAGCATTTATGGACTTGGGTGCGACAACACTTAGGAGAGTAGTGAGACATACGGCAGCACTGTGAACAGAGCGTGAGCTCTGCAGGAGCTGGGTTTATAGCAGAGACGCCTGCCTGCCAGCCAAGAGCCACAGAGACTGGGTGGTGGCTGCCTACCCCAGCCTCTTTTGAGGCCCATTAAAATGACAGTTAAAGGCATTTTAAAAGGACAGTTTTGCCTTTTTACTAAAGGCAAAAGTGCTCAACGGAAAAGACAAGGGGAGGAGATGGAAAGCAGGGTGACTAACAGCCTGAGAAAGCTGGAGCCTGAGGCAGAGGGGTGGCCCCGTCCTGGCCCGAGCCCAGGGAGGCTCCAGACTGGAACCAGGGTCTTGGGGGTGTTCTCAAGCGGAGGGGTCAGACCCTGACCTCGGGGACCTGGGCTGTGGCAGCTGAGTGCCCGTCTGCAGGTGAGGAGGGAGCATTCCCTCCTGACAGACCGGCTAAGGCAAGAGACCTCTGGGCCCTGGTCTCCCAGGCCCCCAGTGTACCCGCACCGAGGACTGGCTTCTGCTCAGCCCCCAGGCGGCTGTTCCGTGCCTCACTCTTGAATATGAGCAGTGGTCTCCAGACGCTTGAGAAAAGCTTCTGAGAGGAAAGACAGTCACTGTGTAAGCAGGAAAAAGGGCGTCGATACAGAAGAATGTGTATGAAAACAAAGACTGAGTCATGAGGTCCTCTGGGGTAAGAGGAGAAAGAGTTCTTGATTAATGAAATTTTGATAGCGGAAATGAATAATGCAATGAGCATTTTAAAAAATAAAGTTCAGGAAACCTTCCCCAAAGGCACAGAAGAGGAGAGATAAGAAAAATAGAGGTTCTTCCAGGAAGCTCAGTATCTAAGAGCACTTCCGGGACAGGACGGAGGACAGGGAGGCCAGGACATTGTCAAGGAAAAATAAAAGACATGTCCCAGAACTGAGCGACATAAGCGCACCCAATGGACTCCACCCCATCCATCCTGCTGAGACCCTGGATGCTTGAAGGGAGGGTGCCTCGGGAGGAGGAGACAAGCGTCCTGCGTGCAGTGGGGAGTCAGGTGGCTGCAGACCTCTTGGCACCGGCACTGGGAGTTAGAAGGCAGTGGAGGGCCATCGCCATCGCCTGCCGCCCACACGCAGCCAGACTTCCAGCCAGGAGCAAGGGCCCAGGGAAAACTCTCGCAGACAACCAAAGCCTTGTTCAATGTGCTTCTTTGCGATTGTTCTCAGGAAGATGCTGGAGAATGTGCTCCTCAAAACCAGAGGAAAACTGGGGAAGGTGAGGACTGGGAAGTCCAGAAACGCAGGAGGCACCGGGAGAGGAAGAGAATCGGAGTCTCAGGGTGGCAGCTGTGGCACGGGGCTGGAGAGTGGCTGTCCAGACTGAGACAGAGGACAGAGGCTTGAGAGGGGACGTCTTTAAGAACAAGTGACAGACTTCCAGGATTGTTTAAACATGTGGAGAGAGGTGTTGGAATTGTCAGAGTCCCATTAATGATGGCAAGGTAGAGCATCCAGCAGTGCAATTTGTTCTTTGATCTATTCCCTTTCCCCATTCTTTACGTAGGATGATTTCTAGTGATCTGTCTTCAAGTCCCCCGATTCATCTGCCATCTCCAATCCACTGTCAGGCCCAATCAGTGAATTTTTCATTTCAGCTATTATACTTTTTATCGGAGAATTGCCATTTAGTTCCTCTATATAATTTCAAGTAATTTCCATTTTCCCTTGTCTGTTTACTCATTATGACCATGTTTTCCTTTAACTTTTTGGACATGTTTTCCATTCATTCTTTGCATACACTTAACAACGGTTGTGTTAGTCTTTGATAAACCCAACATCTGAGCCACGTGGAGTTGGTTTCTATTTTTTGGGTTTGTTTCGTTATTGTTGTTTTTTGTAATGTTTTCTCCTTGATTATGAGCCATATTTTCCTGTTTCTGGGTAGATCTTGTGATTCTCATATCATGGACCGAACATTGTGAATGGTGCATCGCAGCAACTCTGGATTCTGTTATCTTCCTCTGAAGAACGTTGACCTGTGTTGTAGTAGGCAGTTAATTTCTAGCTGATTACCGTGAACAGGCGAGCATGGCTTGGCATTTCGTGAGGATGGGTCTTTGTGTTGGTGGGACTCAACCTGCAAAGTGCTCCATTGTGGATTTTACCGGGGCTTGGTTTTGGATTTTGGCAGGGCAGGTCAGGAGTGGGGCTCACTCTAGGCATAGCACCAAGGCCTGGCCTTTCTGGAGTCTTGGCTAGATGCTGCAGCGTTGTCTGGGCTGGAGTCTAATGTGTCTAGCACTGCTTGACTGCTAGTGTCTCTGTTTCAGTCTCAGCCCCAAGGCAACTGTTTCTGGGAGCCGTGGGGATCCTGCATTGCTCATACACACTCCCGGCTGCTTCAACCGCCCCTCTTGCCGGTGCGCTGCCCCGCAGATGGCCTGCCACCTCCTCCACTTGGTGGAATGCTGTGCTCCCTGGGTTCCAGATCAGTGGTCCTGGCTGGGGGATTGCCCTCAGTGGGAGGCGGTCATCCTGGGGCCCTCCTCGGGCATTGTCCTGCTGTCAGGAAGCACGGTTGTGTGTGGCCTGTTGTCCAGAATCAGCTGCCTCGACTGTGTTGTCCAGTTGATGTTTGCAGTGGGAGGGCTGCGTCAGTGCCAGCCCTCCCACGTGACCAGAGCAGAAGTCTGGAGCAAACTCTGCAAGAAAGGAGAAATAACCGTAGTCCACGTGTGGCTCAGCTGGGGATAGTATTTACATAGTTGTACTCAGGTCTTCTATAAATAGTGAGCCAAAGGAAGACTCTCAGAACCGTTTCAGGAGGTTGTGGGGTATGCAGGCGGTGCTGGGGGACGATAGTGAATTCTTCCCTTGAGGTCGGTCCATCACAGGTAAGACTGAAACTGAAGGAATAACCACATCAACGTATTCTTTAGAAAGATAAATGAAAGTATCCAAGGGCATAGCTAGCAGACCTCCTCTGGGTAGGAAGTCTGGAGTAGGGAGCACAGTGGGTCTCCTCTCCCGTGCCCATGTGAGGATTTGGGGTTTACGCGGTAGACCATGCAGGCGTTACTGTGGTGCAAAGGAACAACCGTGAATGGAGACGAAGCCTTTATAAGGCCTCCTGGGCACAGAGGAGAGGAGGGAGGACAGGCTAATCTCCAGAAACGTGGAGAAGTGCGTCGTGGACGTAACGGCTTGCTGCCGGGCGGCGTCAGTTAACGGTGCGTGTGCCTGTGTGGGCTGGCTCCCGGGTCCTCGTGGCGAGCCCGTCTCTGAGGCCAGCTGGCGGGTGGAGCCGAGGGCGCCTGGGTCCCCGCACCTGGACCACGGAAGCGGGCCCTTGGCGTGTGGTTCTATTTGTCTCTCTCCGCCGATTCCTCACTCCTCAAGCTGCCCACTTTCTTCCCCAGCGCCGCCTTGAGGATGGACCCGGCTGACCCCCCTGGCGACCCCGCTGCCAGCGACCCCGCCGCTGGAGACACAGACCCCGCTGGCAACTCCACTGGCAGCGAGCGCCATTGCACAGGTGAGTCTGCGCGCCTACGGCCCTGAGTCTGGCTGGCTGCATTTGGCAGGGCCAGGCGTGGGTGCGCGTGCGGGGTGCGCGTGCAGCGGGTGTGGCGGGGGAGGTCTGTCCGGGTATGGGGTACGTGTGTGCACCAGGTAGGCGCCCTGGGGGTAGGCATCCCGTGCTGTGGCCTTGTGCGAGGCCGCCCCGGGAGCGGGTGCGAGCGTGCAGGCGACACAGCACGGCAGCGCCGCCGTCCTGTCTCGAGGGCTGCAGGTAGGCGCCTCTCTTTGCTCTGGGAAGGGCGCCACTGGCTCTGGAGGGTAAGCCACGTGGCCTGGTTGTCCCAGGGCGGGCTGCGTGCTGGCCACCTGCTTGCGGGCTGCCAGGAGGACTGCGGGACCGGACAGACACTCGGGCATGTGTGGGGGCACTTGGGAAGGACGGCTGTCTCTCTGAGTCCTGGCTCGACACGCACAGTCTCTGGGCCCCACACATGGGCGTCTGATCCGTCTTGCCAAGAAGGAGCGGGGAGGGGACCGGGATGTGTCTGAAAAGCAGGGGCCCGGGCCAGGCTGCAAGCACAGGAGCCCCAAACCCCGTGGGGTATTCCTTCCCTGTGCCCAGGGGCGGAAGCGGACAGTGCAGGGCGTTGGCCCCGGGTCCTGACCGGAGATGAGGGGCCTATTTGGGCACGGAAGCTCCTCCGTGGGGAAGGGAGGCATCTTCAGCTTGGTGGCCCTGGATGTGGTCAGCAAAGAGCTGTTTTCTCATTTCCACCCTGAGAGTCCGGCTTGCCTCTTTTGTTCGGGGCAGCCATGGTCTCCAGGTGTTCCCCACGGTAGCCTCCAAACTGGGTCATCAGTTTGGGGGTCACCTCTGCCCATTGAGCCAACCAGAGACAGGAGCGAGGACCCAGGTCCTGGTGGGATAGGGACCCAGGGTCTGGGGGGAGACAGAGACCTGGGGCCTGGGGGACCTGGGGCCTGGGGCAGGGACTCTGGGTCTGGGACAGGGAATCTTCCGGCCCCTCCTTCTCTCAGGGCCTCACCCAGGGTGGTGTGTCAGGCCCTCCTGCGTCTGCCCATCCCCTTGGGGCGCATGTAGGGTGGGGCCTGCACTGACGTGACATCCGGCCATCACACCTGGGCCTCAGTCTGAGGATATGCAGAGCAGCGCCTGCCATCCAGGGTCTTGCAGGCCTCACCCTTGGTCTACCGGAGCTAGCAGAGGGACAGGCCACCCTGAGAACAAACAGCCCTCCTGGATCAGACACAGCCCCCCTCCCCGGATCAGATACAGCCCCGCCCCCAGATCAGACACAGCACCCCCAGGTCAGACACAGCACCCCCTGGATCAGACACAGCCCCCCTGATCAGACATAGCCCCCCCCC